GTGGTCTCGAACTGTCAGCCTTTCAGTTAGCAATCACTTTAACCACTGCACCACCAGTCCTTGAACGACTCTACAGTCTCTGCCAGTGTAATTGTTATAACCTCAGAGCCGAGCAGCTCCATCTGCCACACATCGGCACTGAGTAAAGACTTAGAGAATAACAACCCTTTAAAGGAGATGATACCAATTCATTTTATAGATGAAAAGACTAAGACTTAGAAAAGTCTTCTAACTTGCCTGAGATCACAAGCTAGTCAGTAGTAAAACTGCAGCTCAGATTTGGGGCTTTCTGATTCTCATAATCTTATCTACAACAGTAGCATATGGATCCCGCACGTGTCTTTGTTACTTTGTCATACTGTGAGGGCTTGCGTGTTGCTGTGATGCTGGAAGCTTTGCCAGCGATATTCAAATACCAGCAGGGTCATCCATGGTAGACACATTTCGGCTAAGCTTCAATACTAAGACAGACTAGGAAGAAGGGCCCGGCAGTCTACTTCTGAAAAGAATTAGCCATTGAAAACCTTATGAATAGCAGTGGAATGTAGTCTGATATAGTGCCGGAAGATAACTCAGAGTACAACTAGGGAAGAGCTGCCTCCTCAAAGTGTAGAGTAGACCTTAATGATGTGGATGGAGTAAAGCTTTCAGAACCTTCATTTGCTGATGTGGCACAACTCAAAATGAGAAGAAACAGCCGCAAACATCCGTTCATAATTGGAACATGGAAGTATGAAGTATGAACCCATGAAAACTGAAAATCATAAAAAATAAAACAATGCATAAACATCGATATCCTAGGCATTAGTGAGCTGATGATATTGGACAATCACATGGTCTACTATGCTGGGAATGACAAATTGAAGAGGAATGGCATTGCATTCATCGTCAAAAAGAACATTTCAAGATCTATACTGAAGTACAGTGCTGTCAGTGATAGGATAATACCCATACACCTACAAAGAAGAGCAGTTAATATGACTATTATTCAAATTTATCCATCTACCACTAAGGCCAAAGATGAAGAAATCGAAGATTTTTACCAACTTCTGCAGTCTGAAATGACATGCAATCAGGATGCATTGATAATTACTGGTGATTGGAATATGAAAGTTGGAGACAAAGAAGAAGGATTGGTAGTTGGAAAATATGGCCTTGGTGATAGAATCGATGCTGGAGATCACCTAGAATTTTGCAAGACCAATGACTTCTTCATTGCAAATATGTTTTTTCACCAACATAAATGGTGACTATACACGTAGATCTCACCAGATGGAATACACAGGAATCAAATTGACTACATCTGTGGAAAGAGAAGATGGAAAAGCTCAATATCATCAGTCAGAACAAGGCAAGGGGTGGACTGTGGAACAGATCATCAGTTGCTCATATGCAAGTTCAAGTTGAAACTGAAGAAAATTAGAACAAGTCCACGAGAGCCAGAGTACGACCTGAACATATCCCACCTAAATTTAAAGACCATCTCAAGAATAGATTTGATGCGTTGATCCCTAATGACTGAAGACCAGACGAGTTGTGGAATGACATCAAGGACATCATACGTGAAGAAAGCAAGAGGTCATTAAAAAGACAGGAAAGAAAGAAAAGACCAAAATGGTTGTCAGAGGAGACTCTGAAACTTACTCTTGAATGTGAAGTAGCTAAAGCAAAAGGAAGAAATGATAAGTAAAAGAACTGAATAGAAGATTTCAAAGGGCGGCTCGAGAAGACAAAGTAAAGTATCATAATGACTTGTGCAAAGACCTGGAGGTAGAAAACCAAAAGGGAAGAACACACTTGCCATTTCTCAAGCTGAAAGAACTAAATCAAAAATTCGAGCCTTGAGTTGCAATATTGAAGGATTCTACAGGGAAAATATTAAACAACGCAGAAAGCATCAAAAGAAGATGGAAGAAATACCCAGAGTCACTATAGCAAAAAGAATTGGTCAATGTTCAACTATTTCAGGAGGTAGCATATGATCAGAAACCAATGGTACTGAAGGAAGAAGTCCAAGCTGCACTGAAAGCATTGGTGAAAAACAAGGCTTCAGGAACTGACGGAATACCAATTGAGATGTTTTAACAAAGGGATGCAGCACTGAAGTGCCAAGAAATTTGGAAGACAGCTTCGTGGCAAACCGACTGGAAGAGATCCGTATTTATGCCTATTCCAAAGAAAGGTGATTTAGCTGAATGCAGAAATTATCGAACAACATCATTAACATCACTCACAAGTAAAATTTTGCAGAAGATCATTCAAAAGCGGCTGCAGCAGAATATCGACAGGGAACTGCCAGAAATTCAAGCCAGATTCAGAAGAGGATGTGGAAACAGGAATATCATTGCTGATGTCAGATGGATCATGGCTGAAAGCAGAGAGTACCATAAAGATGTTTTCCTGTATTTTATTGACTATGCAAAGCCATTTGACTGTGTGGATCATAACAAATTATGGATAACATTGCAAAGAATAGGAATTCCACAACACTTAATTGTGTTGGTGACGACCATCGTACCTAGGCCTGTACATAGATCAAGAGGAGTCGTTATTCCAGAACACTTAATTGTGTTGGTGAGGAACCTGTACATAGATCAAGAGGCAGTTGTTCAGACAGAACAAGGGGATACTGCATAGTTTAAAGTCAGGAAAGGTATGTGTCAGGGTCATATCCTTTCACTATACTTACTCAATCTGTATGCTGAGCAAATAATTCAGAAGCGGGACTATATGAAGAAGAACGTGGCATCAGGATTGGAGGAAGACTCATTAATAACCTGTGATATGCAGATGACACAACCTTGCTTGCTGAAAGTGAAGACGACTTGAAGCACTTACTGATGAAGATCAAAGACTACAGCCTTCAGTATGGATTATACCTCAACGTAAAACAAAAATCCTCACAACTGGAGCAATAAGCAACACCATGATAAGTGGAGAAAAGATTAAAGTTGTCAAGGATTTCATTTTACTTGAATCCACAATCAACACCCATGGAAGCAGCAGTCAGGAAATCAAAAGATGCATTACATTGGGCAAATCTGCCACAAAAGGCCTCTTTAAAGTGTTGAAAAGCAAAGACGTCACCTTGAGGACTAAGGTGTACCTAACCCAGACCATGGTGTTTTCAGTCGCATCATATGTATGCGAAAGCTGGACAGTCAATAAGGAAGACCAAAGAAGAATTGACGCCTTTGAATTGTGGTGTTGGTAAAGAATATTGAATATATCATGGACTGCCAAAAGAATGAACAAATCTGTCTTGGACGAAGTAAAACCAGGATGCTTAGAAGTAAAGATGGTGAGACTTGTTCTTACATACTTTGAACATGTTATTAGGAGGGATCAGTCCCTGGAGAAGGACATCATGCTTGGTAAAGTAGAGGGCCAGCGAAAATGAGGAAGACCCTCAACGAGATGGATTGACATAGTGGCTGCAAAAATGGGCTCAAGCATAACAGCAATTGTGAGGATGGCGCAGGACCAGGCGGTGTTTGTTTCTGTTGTACTTGGAGTTGCTGTGAGTCGGAGCCAGCTCGACGGCATGTAACAGCAACAATCATATGGATTTGCTGAAGGCAAGTTTGGTAATTTGACAATCTTGTCATAATGATATGATTGTCCCAGTCATTGGATTTTCTAGCATTGTATGAGCAGTAGGTTTGGAGTATAACAATCCGAAATTGTTTATGCCTCCTTAAACAACAACAACAAAATATTTATAATGTAGTTTTAGAGAGAGAGGCAAAGAGAATTCCCAGAATAATGGAAAATCTTTCCTGGAAGTGTCTGATGACCCTTGACTATCAGTTCTTATTTAAGTATAAGGTGCTAAGAGCTGATTGGAAACTGTGTACTTGGGCAGGATTATCGACACATTGCTGTGGGGTGATCTAGCTGGCAGTCTCAGTAGCTCTTGCCCTCCAGTGTCCGTATCTGTAGATCTTTTCCCTTCAAAATGGGTCATTTCCCCCAGGGAGGAATGTTCCAGTCTCTGAGTGGGGAGTGAAAACCAGGCTGCCAGGTGCTGGAAGCCAGGTGGGAAGGGAGCTGGGTTGGTGGGGAGGCAACTGTCTCCCCATACAGTGTAGACTTCTATTTAGTACTCCTGCCGCAGTCGCTGCATTGCCCTTACCCTTGGCTATGCCTAGTGTCCCAAGTCCAGGTTCTCTTAATTCACCTTTTCCAGAGAGTAGAGTTAGCCCTCCTGTTTTCATACGCATTCATCCCCCTCTTTCAGATTCCTGTAGCCTATGGAGTGATGCGAACGTCCTTTGGCACTTCTCTCATTTTCAGCTTAAGGAAGGGCTTTCCTGGTCTTAATTTTGTTATGATCTGTCCACAATTATAAGGCTGTTGTATCTCTTCCTGTGCTTAGTACTTGTGGGCTTATGCCTTTCTGTAGCTTCATTGTCATTTTAGTGGAGAGGAAGGGAAGGTGAAAATGCTTGTATTCCTATTGTCGTGTTTAACTGGAAATCCTGCACGTTATTTTCTATAACATTGTACTACACATATATAGCTTTGAAACCTGTAAAATTTATTTAAGCAATTTAACATTTGTTGAACTTTTCGCTGCTTCTCTAATATAAAAATGATGGTTTTTGTTGTTGGGTGCTGTCTAGTCCGTTTCGACTCAGAGTGACCCCATATGACAGAGTATAACTGCCCCACAGGGTTTCCTAGGCTGTAATCCTTATGGGAGCAGATCGCCAGGTATTTCTCCCACAGAGCCATTGGGTGGGTTTGAGCTGGCAACCTTTCAGTTAGAAGCCGAGCACTTAACTGTTGTGCCACCAGGGCTCCTTAAAAATGATAGGATAATGAAAATTCCTGGGAAATAGGAATTCCTGAGAAGTATCTCATTGACTAAAACTGTGCAATATGACCATTCTTATTTTGTAGGAAGAAACGCCTTTCAAGAGAATCAGATTTCCAGATTTGTTGAAATGTGCATATGAGCTTTAGAAACTGCCTTTTTCATTTTCAGATCGTGAGCCATGCCTCTGGTGAAGCGAAACATCGAGCCCCGGCACTTGTGCCGCGGAGCTCTGCCTGAAGGAATCACCAGTGAACTGGAGTGTGTCACCAATAGTACCCTTGCTGCTATCATACGCCAGCTAAGCAGTCTGAGTAAGTCTTCTGATTTCTGGAACACTTCTTTTCAGAATACTGATGACATTTTTGTTTTCATATTAGAAAATTGACTTTAATTCACCAGTTGCACAGTTGTACAGAGAAGACAGCTTTGAAGGAAAGAGTTCAAACCCCCTCTGCCCCAGTTACCTAGCGTGAAGTTAATTGTTGCAACCTCACTGGTGTTTTGATACTCCAGTTTGTGTGATTAAGACTTAATGCTAAAATTGACCAATTCAGAATTATTAGATATGAAGAATACTCCTAAAACACTGCTAATTTTTTAAAAACGCTTATTAAAATAGAAGATAAAATAATTGATAATTTCTTTAACTTTACTGAATTATTTTGTGAAAATCAAAAGAAACCAATTGTTCTTTATAAAAAAATTATTAACAGATTAAAAACTAGTTGACACCTGGAATATGCTTGCGCATAGTAGGTGCTACACAAGTATTTGTTAATGGAATAATATTGAAGGTGAAGCAGAGAATAAAGGCAAAAAGCAATGAGAGCTGCTGATTTAACCTACCGAAAGCTTTAAAAGTTAAAATGCCAGCAGATAAAATGATTGTTACATATACTTAGCATTGTGTATGTATTAATATACCCAGACTTATGGAGAATATAAGCAGAAGGAAGAAAAAGCTTTCTATTATTCTAATTTTGAACATTTAAATAAAACATCCAAGGAATATACCATTTTTTAAAGTCTCAAATGTGCATGAAAATGCCTTTTTCTTCAAAGCTTTTTGAAGTTGAATTGTTTTTTCCCAAACTTTTACATTTATACTCTGTCCTTGTTTTCTCACTTCATCCCACTCCTTTTCAGCTTGGATGGTTTACATTGCATTTTGTGTGACAGGTTTTCACAGCTAAATTTTTCAGAAACTCGTAAATAACTAGAGAATCCTCCATGAAATTTCACATACTGGTAGCTTCAAGCATAGAATATTTTTTTCTAAACTCAAATACTTTTATGTTATTTTGTAGAAGAAACGCTGGCAATAAGTATATTTTAATTAAAAGAATTATACCATATTGATATATTTTTAGTATGTCTATAATCATTGGCTAAGGTAAAAGTAAGTTGGAAATTGCTTAAAATGTCTTTTAAAATAGATTTTTCTAGACTCTAAACTAATCACCTTTGATTTTTGGCAGTGGTTGTTGACAAAATGTATAAATTCCTGTAAGTACAGGAAGATACCTTGTAAATCATTGAAGGATGAGGTATTTCTGCTTGTATTCATATATTTTTTTAAGAATGCCTTGTTGTTGTGTGCCATCAAGTGGATTCTGACTCATACTTTAGTGTCTTATTTTTGTGCCTGAAATGTCTATTGGCATAAAGTCTAAGTGATGAAAACCAACATAAACTGTTAAAATTTCAGTAATCAAACTGTGTATCATGCTGCAGTATTCGGCACAGTGCTGTGTTGGATGTGTTTATGGTGCCTGCTGTCCACAGTCTCTTGTAAGTGAAGCTTCCCACACAGTTACATTTTATTTCACAGAATCTACTCGTGGTTGGCAGAATAATGCCCCCACCCAAAGATGCCCACGTCCTAATCCTCAAATCCTGTTGATACGTTATATTACTTGGCAAGAGGGGATTAAGATTGCTAATCAGCTGACCAGGGAGCCCTGGTGGCAAAACAGTTGAGCACTTGGCTGCTAACTGAAGGTTAATGGTTCACACCCACCCAGCAGCTCTGTGGAGGAAAGACCCGGTGATCTGCTCCCAAAAAGATCACAGCCTAGGAAACCCTTTTGGGCAGTTCTACTCTGTCACATGCTATGAGTCAGAATTGACTCAGGGCCACCTAACAACAACAACAATAAGCTGACCTTCAGAGAACGAGATGATCCTGGATTAGTCAGGTGGCCCAATGAAATCACAGGGGTCCTTTAAATGTAGAAGAGGGAGATAGAAGAAGCAGTGCAAGAGTGAAGCAATGTAAGAAAGACTCGACCCACCATTGCAGGCTCTGACAGTGGAGGAGAGGGACTGTGAGCCAAGGTATGTGGTCAGACGCTAGAAGCTGAAAAATGCAAAAAAAAAAAAAAGAAAGAGGCAGCCTCTAGAAAAGAACATAGCCCTGCCAAACCCTTGATTTTTAGCCCAGCGAGACCCTTTTTGGACTTTTGACCTCCAGAACTATAAGACAATAACTTTATGTGGTATATTTTTTTTAAATCAAAAACATAATTTATGGCTTATAATTGAGGTGTCCAGGAAAAAACTACCTACAGCCATTGTCAGAACCAAGACCTAAATTATGTCTTTTTTTTTTTTTTTTTTAAT